AACAAGTTACAGTCATTTCATCGTCCAGGGCCCGTTTCAAGCCCGAAGTGACAAGGTTTTTCCCTTTTGGGCTCAGCTTTGCCGTTGGATACAATGGACACAACACCATTCTTTCATAACCCTTGACATTGGCAACCATCTCAAGCACCAAAGAGACTGTCTTCTTTCATCCGGAAGCAATTTGCTAGACCAAACATCTTTCAAATCCAGCCTGATTTCCACACCTTTAGCTCTGGCCTCCTTCCAAACCTCGTTCATAAAACCCATCTCCCCAGTCAGACAAGAAGAAGCTGTTCTACGAAGTAATTGAGGAGCACCAAAATAGCGTGCTCCAGGAAGAGGTCTACAGGAAACTAATCTCAGTGCTTCCATACAGCTCCAGCCCCCCGCTGCAGATACATACCTTGGAGACATTCTGTAACCTGGTAAAGAAGCTGAGCAAATTGATGGTTGCGATACGGTGACGATTACAAAAGAGAAGCTACTTTCATCCTTGAGAGGTAAAAGACATTTTGTGATAACATTCTTTACAAGTTCAAGTAATCAAGCCTTTACATAGATATCACATGGTTATATGGAGTATATCACATGGTGGTTATATGGAGTTATAGAACACCATCTCAGCTAGCTCTTGCTTCCCAGACGCGGGTAGTGGCTCCTCCATTCTCAGGGCCTCCCGCTCCAGCTCTTCAAATCCAAGCTCCCCAGACTAGCACACCAAAAGCAATTGGTAAGTGAAACATCGTAGAAAGCTTTAGTGTACCTCAATGGAAGCTCCCAAAGCAGAGTCAAAGCTTGCATATCTCTCTTTCACGATACTTGGAAGAGTACCCTCCTGAAAGAGAATTCTTGCCCGTGAGAAATGCCACAAATGAAGCAATTTTACCTCAAGGATTTTGGCTGCATTGCGAAGCCCGCGTGCCATTGCGTCCATGCCAGCGATATGAGAGATGAACAAGTCTTCCACGTCTGTACTTTCCCTTCTCCTGAAACACAACACACCACACACAAGTGAGCACGAATGGTGTAGGAATGGTAGGAATGGTTTCTAAATAGACGCACAGTTTGGCATCGAAGTTGAATCCACCAGGAGCAAGGCCTCCCTACAACAAAAGATACGGTCAGGCGAAAAAAATGTTTTTGAGTGGCTTACATTCTGAAGCACTGAAAGCATCACTTGCGTGGTTTCTGCAATATCCATCAGGAACTGGTCGGTATCCCATCCTGAAAAAAACATCTCTTAAGTACTGCGTGAAACGAAGAAGCGAAAGTACCTGTTTGAGCGTCACCAGTGTTGGCGTCAATGTTTCCCAAAACTCCATTGATTCGAGAAACTTCCAGTTCATGATAGCAGCTGCATTCCACGAGTATCAGTACAAACAATAAACTTTCGGCTGTCTTACCTGTGACCCGCAAGCGTTGCGTGGTTGCATTCAATGTTCAGCTTGAAGTCGTCTGCGCCGTAGGAATAGAGTTAGATGGATCTACAGGGAAAACCACAAGCTAGCTTACCCTTCAATCCATATTTTTGCAAGAATCCAATCGCAGTTGCAGCATCCCAATCATATCTACATAAACAAACGTTAAGTAAGGTGCATTAAGTTTAAAGCAAGCCCGTACTGATGCTTCGTGGGTTCTTGAGGCTTTGGTTCAATGAGAAGCACGCCTGCGATATGAAAAAATCTCTCAGTACCAAGCAGTTAGCGTGAGATGCTTACCGTCAAAGTCGATCTTCTTCTTGTACTCAGCGGCTGATTTCAAAAATTGTCCCTGCAAAGCCAAGAGTTATAGCTGCCGAAGTTGAAGAGAACAAAGAAATTATTACCAGGTGATTGAGCTCCCTCTCAAGGTCTGTGTTCAAGAGAGACTGATATCCTTCCCGGCCACCCCAGAACACGTAATTCTCTCCACCAAGCTCTTTCGTAGCCTGAAAGCAGAAAGCTCAGACGTCAGCATGAACAAAATAAAAGAAAAGCAAAACATGTAACATACCTCCATAGCCTTCTTGACTTGAGCGGCTGCATAAGCATAAATCCTAGCGTCGGGACTACCAGGGGAAGAAACAACTATAATAGGAAAGAGAGCAACAAGAAAATCTAATACCTGGTGGCTGCGCCATGCATGTATCTTGGGTGCTTGAAAAGCTGCGCGGTTCCCCAGAGAGGTCTGATGTCTGTGCCTTCCTGTAGCTGCTTAGCTAAAGCAACAACTTTGTCGAGGTTGGCATTTGATTCCTGAAACACCAAGCTTTGTCAATCAATGAAAAAACTTCGAGCCAGCAAACCTCCAGAGTCCGGCCCTCTGGCGCAATATCTCTATCGTGGAAGCACCATCGGTTAAGGCCAAGCTTTTTCAGGAACTCAAAGTTTGCCCGCACTGGAGACAAGAACAAGATAAACACCAAACCGAACGCAAAGCACACGTACTTCTTGTGAAGGCCATCTCGAGCGAGTCCGTTCCATCATCCCAAGGCCACTGCTTCGTCGGAGATCCAAAAGGATCACTTCCATCGCCTCGGAATGTATGCCAGAAGGCGACACTGAACCTCAGCCAGTCCTACACAGATAAAGGAAAGAAAAAGGGAATTTTTGTCGAGCGCATGGATGGAATGATGGTGGCTTCTACCTTCATCTTCTTGCCATAGATCTCTTCCTCCGGATTGTACCACTTGAAAGCAAGTGGGTTCTTGCTAGAGGGTCCCTGAAATTCCCATCCGAGCGCGTTTAGAAAAGGTATTGAGATGAGAAACACGAGAAATCCCAGACCTCGTACTCTATCTTCGAGATGTTGGGGAAAAACTCGACTTCCCCTTCCTGGAACCCGGAACCACATGTTTGATCTGCGACTCGCTTCTCCTGGAGCCCCGATATCAGTACACAAAAGATAGAAGGGAAGAGTTTACCTGTGTAGCAAGCGTCGACCCCAGGCACAAAAGCGCCACAAAGGCCGCCAGGCAGATGCTCCTCCTTCCCATTCTCATCACAAGCTCTGATACCACGAACCCTTGTGATTGTAGCACCATTTTATAGGCCCTGCTCATCTCTATCATTTCGGATGCTATTAAAAACTATCTGAGTAAGATAGTACTTTATCCTTAAACAAGTGTTATCCCCTTTGTGGATTAAAAATAGAACAAAAGTATAAACTCTACGTACTTTTAACTTTCACTCGGACTTCTTGTGAAGCTTGCTGCTTCCCACTCTCACCAGACAGTAAAGGGAAACAGAAACAGCCAGTATGACCACTGCACATTTTGCTTGTGTCAGAACGAGAAGCGAGCAAACAAGGGAACTTACCAGTGAAGAGAGAGTAAACGACGGCAGCCAGTCGGTATCTCAGGTACCACGGAAGGTCGACTTCCCGTGTACAGTGCCTCTGGATCTTCTTCTTTAGCCGCTTGAAGTTTCTCTCTGCTCCATCTTGTGCCTGGAGTTTCGAGAGCGGGATGATCTCCTTGAGCGCAGGCCGTCCAAACACGTCTCTGATCTCCGCGATAATTTTGACATTGTCCGCGGTCCAGTCGATGAGGAAAGTTCCGAAGTTTTGTTTGCCTGGAGTGACGAAGGTTTGCAAAATTCTCAAGACATGAGTAGAAGAGAAGAGAGACTGATACGAACCATAAACGCAAGAGCTGTATCGGCACCATTGGTTGTATACTCTCATACTAGTTGGCATTAGCCAGGCAGAGAACCTTGCTAGCGGAGCAAGCTTAGACTGCTCCACTGCCTGTGTAAGGCCACTCGATGTCACATCATAAAGCGGGTAGCTGATACCACAGTCGTACCTAGTGATTTCCCCAAAGTGCACATCCCCACTGATAAAGACAACACCACTTGCCTGTGCATGGAGAGAGCTGGATGTCAAAATCCCAAAGCCTCAGCATCCAGACTTACATTCGAGCGTGCAATTACATCAAAAAGTCGTTCTTGCTCTTTTGGAAAATGCGACCATGCTTCCACGTGAAAGAAAGGTCGCACAGTCGAAGAAAAGTTGCCCAACACCTTTACAAGCGCAACCAGATCAATCCCACGTATGTAGCATGATAATAGCAGAAGATACTCACTTGAATGGACGAAGCTATGATATTGATTTGCGCATCGGTCTCGGTCAGTTCTTTCTCCAGAAACGTCCACTGCTTTTCTCCCAGCACCGTCCCGTCGCTGAAAATCGGATCTCTGTGGTACCTTGTATCTAGAAGAATAACCTGCTTGTAAATGCTACTTTCAGGAGCTCAAAACGATAACGAAGCTTCGATCATACCTTAATTCTCTTTCCTAAAGGACCATAAGAGTAAGACGTATAGACCCCCTCCTGGGACCATCTAGACAAAGCGAAAAGCAGATGAATAATAGAAAAATTACGCGCTTGCCTACCTGGGGCTGTCCAAAGGCTCGTCCAAATTCTCCAGCATTAACTTTTGGCTCTCCCTCTTGCCTTCAAACTCCTTTCCAGCGTCATTGAGGCCATAATCATGGTCATCCCAAGTTCCTATAATCTGTCCAAGAGCAATGTGCTATAAACAAGCCAGAAATTGACGAACCAACCTGTGTAGTTGCTCTCAATCTCTTGTACTCGGGAACGCTCTTCCCTTTCCGATACTTCTCCGCCATTTCTTCAAGCGACACAGGAGAGAAGCGGGGGATGTTCTTCCAAGGCCCAGCAGTGCGTTCCTTTCCAAACACCCGAGTCGGCCGCTTGTTATCCGCGTAAATGTTGTCTCCAAGCCAGATAAACACCTCCGGCTTGAAATCCAGCACAGCCGACCATATCGGCTGGAAAACAAAAAACAAAAGAATATGGATCAGTAAACAGACACACACACACAAAAAAAATGTTTTTTTTTACCTGAGGAACGTCCTGATGAGCACACGAACCAAAAGCAATCCTGGATACAACAGGAAGCTCCGCCCCTCCAATGCGAGAAAAGAGGAAGAGAAGAAGAACATAAAAGAGACGAGCTAGCATTCCCATGCTCACAGTGGGCAGAGACGACCAGCTTGGTAGAAAGAAGAGATCGGTATTATACCTCATTCTAGACATCGGCTTCCGGGAATTCTCCATCCACTGGAAGGCGCATCGCAAACCCTAACCCTATCCTCTAACTGCAGCACACACAGATCTCTTTAGTTCTTGGGCGACGAAGAGGAAGCACCTGGCTTCCATGGAGGGGCATATTCGTCGGCTACGTGGCGGGAATCCAACCAAAGTCGCGCCTTTATCATTATAGGCACACCAGTGGTTGCCACGTCCCTGCACAGGAAAAGTTTAGTCCTCGCAAAGAAAGCCAGCAGCGTCCTTGAAAAGAATATAGTATACCAATGTTCTTGCCTGGATTTTTTTCTCAAGCTTGCGGGAAGTAATCGTTGAGGTTTAGTGGCAGCTTGTAAAACTCTTCGCTCCTCACGTCGTCCCCAAAGTTGTAGAACTTGCTCCACCAATTCAGGCCGCGGTTCTTTGCGTTTGGCGCTCCAATGTCGAGCGTGTTGTCGAGGAGAACCGCCACCATGAGAGTTACTGCGGCGTTGGAGGAGAACGTAACGTTGAGAGCATCGTCAAACTGCAAAGAGAGGTAGAGATTTTGGTGAGGAAAGGTGAGTTTTTTATCGTACCCAGTTGGCTCCACTGTGCACGGGACCGTGGCCTGCGGAATCGGCGAACTCTCGAAAGTACTGCGGAACTGACAGTCCCAGGAACAGCGAGAATCCCAATATGAAGAGATTCCTCCGGGAGCTTAAGTTTGCAAATTGGAGAAAGGTGAAACCGGTCGAAGCTAACACCCCGGCCAGAATGCAATAGACCGCTGCAAACAGTGGTACGGGGATTGAAGCAAGGATGGCACCAAATTTACCTGAAAAACAAGAGAGAATACGTTATGTTTTTTTGATTGGTTTCTGCAGCTCACCGAAAACCGAGAAGAAGATCATCAAGATAGCTGATAGTTGAACTATTCTTCGGCTTCCAACCCTTGTTAGGCCAATCAAACCTGCATTTTCCCTACAAAACCACAGAAGTGAAAAACTGCAGATTTGATAACAAAAAAGGTTCAAACTCACACTAAAGCTGTACAACCAGTTGCGGTCCCGAACATGCCACAGAGCATGATCCCAATTCCCTTCATATTGATAGAACGGTCAACCTTCATCAGAGAACAAAAGATTGAGTGACACGAACCTGCCAGCCTATTCCACGGCTCAAAACATGAGACGGTGGAGGCGTCGCCCCCGAAAGTCTCGATAGACCATAAAAAGTTCCCGTAGACTGCGTGAAGAACGTACGAAGTTCTTCTCGTGAATAAAAACCAAAATACTCCTCACCTCAACAAGAGAAACAAGCACCGCGGCCATCATCCCGAACACATGACTTGCACTGAACGTTGGAGTTCCCCATTGCAAAGGATACGGAACCCTGACCCTGCATTATATGTTTAAAGCTGTAAGGTGTCTAAGAACGTTCAAAACGATTTACCATGGAGCTGAGCTGATGAGATTAGCACGGTCCGTTCGACAGTGCATCTGCCCCAAGGGGCTTGAATGTCGATAAGCTCCACTCAGTGTAAGAACTTGCGCGTAGGCCCAGATTAAGGCCATAGAAAAGATAATCGGAAAACGCTCAAACACTGGTATTCCTTGAGGCCGCAGCTTCACCGATTTCAAGTACTGTGGAGCAAACGCATTGTGAGGTGAGAAAATAAAAGTTGATAACATACTTGTGAAAGCATGAGTATCAATGCCAGCTGAGGAAGTCCAATTTGCACGCATTTTCCAACCCCGGGAAATCCATACTCGTAAATTCCTAGACCAGTCATCATAATAACAGGAGCTATTGTCATGGGGCACATAAACCTGGTCGAGTTCGTTACAACAAATGAAAGAAGAAAATCTTTCAAAACTGACCTTGAAAATACACCCCACACGCCACTAAATCCCAGAGCTATTTGAATGCTGGAAGCGCAAATAAGAGCACCTTGAATTGCACGTATGGTTTGAAGAAATCTCTACAACGTAAACATTCAAATCCAATCACCAAAGAAAGAAACAAACGCAAAGTACCTCCTCGGAATCATAGATGCTAAGCAGTTTCGGGGAATTGATAATTGTCAGCGTCGGAATCATAAAGGCGTAGGATCCTCCAATCACTGCCGGGAGCCTCGTCCCAAAGAAAGTCTGACCGAGCGTAGTCAGGCCGCTGACGAAGAGCAACGCTTGAATAACTAGAGTCCTGTGTCGCTGGAGAAAAAAGAAACAAAACAGTGCAGCGTGTCAGCCTTAAGAAAAAAAATGCTCCACTTACATCGTCGCCTCCGATTGCGTCGACCATGATGCTTGGAATTACTACAGTCGTTCCGAGCATCGTGAGGTAGTGTTGGAAAGCCAGAAACGATGTTTCGACTAGAAAAAGAAGATAAAACTACTGTCAGCAGGAACAAGAACCAAATGAAATGCAAAATTCATAACCCCACGGAGGACTGTCATTGACGCAGTACTCCAGTTCTGGTTGCTGATCTTCGACAGGATGCTGGAAATCATTCTTCGCTGGAACGCTCACACTTAGAACTGTGGTTGCCATTTCTTGCTGCTGTTTCAAGAACACCGAAGAAACCAGTCTTTTTTACATACAGGCTGAGAATCTGGAATATGTCCCCTTGTCTTTTGTCAGCTTCGGTCTATGATGACGAGATCTGTAAGATATGGATTTCTCGACACGAGAATATCCTAGAAATCCAAACTAACTACCTAGAAAGAGAAGAAATGCAATGCAGAAACTCACGTCCATTCAACTCCAAAGCGATAAAAAAAAGTAGTTCTTTTTTTCTTTTCTTTGTTTTTTAATCACGACCAGCAGCAACTTGCTTGCAACAGTCAGTTCAGTTCCGCTCTGTACAGTAGAGAAACTGAAGCCTGGAGCAAAACACAAGTCACTCAGAACCGAAACTAAACGAAAGGCCGTACCTTTGGACTTATGTATACAATTCCAGCAGGCCCCCAGCTCTAGTTTCCTGGATCTAAAGCAAAATTTCCTGTCTGTGGTTTCATCGAGCAGCCACTAGTTCCTGTTTCTCCAGTTGCGGCAGAACCAGAGTATCCAGTCCTGTGTCCAAGCCTTCTTCCAAACTCCTAGCAGGTTTTTGCATTCCTAGAAGCTCGTGTATCTCCTCCGTTTGCTCGTGACTCTTGGCTATTTTCAGCAGTACTGTTCTCAGAATTGGATCCGGTTTGTATCCAGTGCCTAGCATTTGCTTGTACCAGATGATAGCTGAATCAAAATCGTCGTTGGACCCATAGGCGTTTACCAGTACCGTGTACACGTGACGGTTTGGTTCTAATCCCGCAAGCTTCATCGTCTCGAAAGACCTCATCATGTTGTCTAACTTGTTCCCGTTCGCGTAACCCGTCATCAGAACGCAAAATGTCTGCAAGTTGGGTTGCAAGTCCGCTTCCTTCATTCGCAGAACTGTCTGTTCCGCTTTAGCCATCAGGTTCACACTAACATAAGCAGATATCAAAGACGTATAAGACTCCACGGTAGGGGTACACCTGTTTTCGACTATTAGACTCGACTAAAAAATAGTTAGAAGAATTATACCCGTTCTGTTTCATCTGTTTTAAAACAGCTCGTGCTCCCTCTGGATCTTTACACTTCGCATACGCATTAATAAGTGCGTTATAGGCAACTTGTGTCGGTCTGAAAAACAAAAATTTGGATCATACAAGGATTCAATCACTCACTACCTTATGCCAGCGGCAATCATGTCATCGAAAGCAGCGTGTGCACATTCCGCCCTCCTCGCCTTGGCGTACGCATTTACCAGAGCGGTATATGAGAAGACATCTGGGTCGAGCTTGGCAGCTTGCAACTGCAAAATCAAAGGAGCGGGTTCAGCATCGCTGAAATAATCGAAATGAATGTTTACCTTCCGGAAAACATCTTCAGCATCCTTCCAGGTCTTTTGACATGCAAGAAGACTGTTGAACGTAACTATCGTTAATGCCACGCGCTCACGTTTCATCGACTGATAAACGGACATGGCCTGTTCAACTTTGCCCTGCTTCCCATACGTATGAATCATCAAATTATACATTCTCGCGTCCGGTTTTACTGTTGGACTTGGCGAATCTGTTACCAGCTTAAAAATTCGTTGGACATCATCCAGCCTCCCAGCCTGTGTAACACACATTGATCGATAGGAAATAAGGAAAGAGGATTTACCTCACTGTATGATTTCATCATGGTTTGATAAGTCTGTGCTGTAGGCGAAGGACCAGTTGTTAGCAGTCTCTGAAACACAGCTTCAGCCTTGTCAAAACTCCGTCGTCGACCGTAGCCTTCGATTTGTAGCGTGTACATTTCGATGTTGGCCACAACACCAAGCTCTGCCATTCGTTGGAAAATTCCTTCCGTCTTGTCGACTTGCCCATCCTTGCAATAGGCCAGCAAAACCAGGAAGTAATCCTTCTGGTTGAAATTGTACCATCCTTGCTCCATGAGCCATTCCGTGAACTGGAAGAGAAGAAATGAGAAACACAAAAATTTGATGCTTTTCTATCCTAAGATCACGAACCTTGATAATTATCTTCCACGCCTGCATTTGCTTAAACCTGGTGAGCGTCCCGACAACACTCTCCCTAGAAATATTTCCATCTCCAGCGTACTTCTTGAGAATTGCCAGTGGCTCGGGAGATTTCTCTACCTCGAGCATCATCCGTTCCCACGCAAGCTGCTCGGGGCTCAACGCCGGGCCGGGATTGTTCCTAAGGTTCCTAATCCTTGGCGAATTCCTCGCTACTGCAGCCGCTACCTGGATTCTAACCCCCCGCCCTGCTCCGCGTGGATCATACCTCGACGAAATCCAGCACGGAGAGGCGACGGACGAAGAACACGGCTCAGTGCAATCTGAAAGAGAAGAAGATCCACATTTTGTGTCGGGCGCGTCGAAATATCGCCGCTGGAAGCATGAGAAAGGAAGAACGCCCGCCATGGCGCGCGCGCTATCTCCAGCTCGAGCAAGGCCCTATCATATTCCGTCACTTGAGCCCTAAACCCCCAAATATCACCAAGAACATTCCGTCAGTCCATCCGGCCCAGCTGGGATTCGAGCTCGCGACCTTTCGGAGCTCGAGGAAATCACTCGAAGGCTTCGCGATCGCTGGCGTTGCTAGAGCGAAGAAATGAGAGATCAAGAGAAAGGCTCGCCAAGATCTAGCAAGGTAATCGATGCGAGGGAGATTCTTAGCTAGAATAGCGATCGAACGAGCTAGGAAGGGATTCGAACCTCGGCCGGGCAGGGACCTAGGGCTCGGCATTTGGCGCGTTTCCAGCATTTGAATTGGAGAGAGGGCGGAGGGCGGCGCTATGGCGGCCAAGAACATGTACCCGGTGAAGAAGAACAATTGGTCCTTCCGGGAAACCATGATTCCGATCCCTGGCGATGGCTTTGATCCAAACAAGGCTCTCGCGCAGCCCCTCCAGGAGCTTCCCTCTGAGTTGCAAAAGCGATCAAGGGTGTCCATCTTCAAGCCGCCAAAAAAGGTTGCCAAAGAGAAGAAGCACATCTTCCAGAAAATCGAGGACCGCAAGCACCAGAACGCCTTCAAGTAAGTAGCACTTCCATTTTTTTTTCCTGATTCTTCTGTTCGAGATAGAAGAAAGTTCTTGCTCATTGTTTCTATCTCGCAGGCGATACCAGTACCATTGTCGAAACTACGAGGAGTCCAAAAAGCTGGCAATGAAGCAAACCGAGAAAGTCGAGGAGGACATACTCATGGAAAACATCAACCTCTATCGCTTGAAGCAAGAGAACATTCTCATCCTTGAGAAATCCAAGTCCGACTTAGATAGATACTACGGAGAAAACACCGTAAGCTCCCTCTGTTCGATTTCTCACGAGCTCTCGTTTTTGTTTTCTCATTTTTTCCCTCCCGGTTCTTGGCAGTGGGAGATCAGCTTGCGAGATTACTGGATGGTCGAGCCTATGATTGGTGACTTAACGGCTGTGCCTATGCCTTACGATCTTCTAGCTCAGCGCACGCTCGAAAGGATTGGCAACCCGCTCAAAGAAAACATGTCTCTGGACTACTTCACCAAAACAGACTCGCGGCAGGACACGAGAAAAAGCCGATGGGGGCCGTTTGAGCTCTACATGGAGCGCCTCGAGAAGGGGATCCGGACAACAGTGCCTCATCGTCCAAACTTTCATGGTTTCCAGGTATGTACCAGAGCTTTAGTTTTCTTCGAAAGTTTTCTTTTTTATGTCCAGTTTCTAATGGTTTTGGAAGCCGAGGCTTGCTTTCAAAACCTTGTATAATGTTTTAACAGGAGTGGTGTTTTGGGATTGGAATCCACTTGTGGCTCTCATCTCTTTGGGACAAGCCAGGGTTTGCAAAGCTTGCTAAGTTTTTCTTCTGGTAATGGATGGCTGGCGGTTTTAGACGGGGTGACGGATCCTCTCAGCAAGGCAACACTTTAGAGCTAGTGTTTGCTTTCTATTAACGATCTTCTAACAACGGACTGGTGTTGGCAGCTTGTAGGAAACAAGATCAAACCAGAGGCTGAACGGCAGCGGAAAGGAGGAGAGCGTATCAAGGTAGTCGACTTTCAGGAATTTGCTTGTGTTTTTGAAGTGTTTTTCTTGTTCTTCCGGCTTACAGTTTGGAAAGAAAAGCGAGGAGGCGCCTGCTGGCGAGGTTTACAGCCAGCCAGCCATCAAAGTTAGCACAGAATCGCTACTGTTCACAGCAAAGGCAGGTTTGTGAAAGCTCGAAAATTGTCGTTGCTCCGAAACATGGCCTGTGCTTGCATCAGGTGAGATAGCAAGTCGAGATGTCACCATGAGAAACGTTGGCACTGTTGCCGTTTACTATAGCTGGAAGAAGCGGCCTCAAGATCCAATCGTGGAGCCATCAAAGTCTTGGAATGGTATTTGCTATTGTCGAGACAATATGTTATAGCTTTGGAAAGATAGTTTTCATCAAAGCTCTAACATCCCTTTGGCAGATAAAAACTTCCAAGTTCCTCGTCACAACCGCTTCACCGTATTGGCATCCAGCGGCCGCATACTACCCGGCGAAGTGCAAAACTTCCGTTTCAATTTCTTCTCCAACTTTGCGGGATCCTTCTACGAGACGTGGGTCCTCTGGACCGCTCCCGTGCTGCCCGACCCTCCCGCGCCAATCTACTTCAAGGGCGTAGCCACGACCGAAGATCTCAAAGGGTAAACTCCTCCCTCCATCTCAAACTTTGCGTGAACTTCATCTTGTTTTCGCAGGGACCTGAGGAACAAACTGACCCGGGAGCTCGAGTACCGAGAGATGATGCACGGAGTCGAGGAAGTCATCGAAGAGCTGCTGGACAACTCCTCGGACTTGACATGCAGCACGCTCAAGAGCAAGCCCGACTACCTGTACTCCCCCGCGGCCTACGCATTCCTGCGAGGAAACCTCGGGTCGGAGTCACCAATGTACCACAACCCAGCCGCCGACACTTACTGCCGCAAGCTCGTCACCGCCATCAACGCCACCTTGCTCGAGGAGGCCGAGAGTCGAAAGCCTCCAGTAGAAGAGCTACCACCACCGCCGCCACCTCCGCCACCCAAGAAAGGAGCCCCCCCGCCGCCACCCCCGCCGCCTCCTCCAGAGCCAGAGCCGGTTCTCACTATAGAGTGGGACGGATCGCTCGCAAACACCATCAAGGCCAGCGAGAACATCACCAGCGAGGAGAGCCGGCGCCAGGTGCTCAGCCTGTGTCCAAAGATCAAGAAGCTGGCGGAGATCCCAGCTCATCCATCGTCGACGTTCCACTTGGCTCTCTTCAAGATCTTCAGCGAGGCCATCCATCCCGTCCACGACGCGGTGGAGAACACTCTGGCGGACATCGCTGCGAAGGCCAAGGCGGAGGAGGACGCTCGTCTTGAGGTCCGCCGCCAGAAGGCCATAGAGGAAGGGCTCGACCCGGACATGCTCGAGGAGGAGGAGCCGCCGCCACCACCCGAGCCACTGTATAACGAAGATGGGGAGGAGATCCCGCCGCCGCCACCTCCGAAGCTATACGAGAACGTCGCGGTAGCGTCGGCGGTCAAGGACGTGTTGATGGAGAGTTTCTTGCGTGTCGAGGACGAGATTGAGAAGCTCGAGGACGCGGCCATTTCGGTGGTGGAGTCGCAGATATTGGCACAGAAGCAGCGGGAGCCGGATGAGCAGACGCTGTGGAACATTTTTGCGCTGGAGAGGGAGAAGCTCTTCCTCGTTCTCGGTAAGGATAGAGACTGAGTTTCTAGAGCCAGAGTTTTTTCTTGTTGAATGCGGCCTTTCTTCTCTGTTGCTTGTCTCATCCGAAACTTGGTAGAGGAAGGTTGAATCTGATGCCATCGCTTTGGTCACTGGCACTGCCACGGCTGACCTCTCCGAGATCGCCTTCAAAAAACTCGTCTTGGCTCATCAAGTACTGGTCCTCCTCGTCATCTTCCACTTCCTCTTCGTCCTGTTGGCTGCTGCTACTGCTTGAGCTGAAGCTGTTCTCCGACATGTACTCCGAGGACTCGATGCTCAGCTGGATCTGCTCGTTCTCACTGTCCTCGTAGCTGTCCATGCTGACGGAGCTATCACTGCCACTGTGAGGGAAGGATCAAGGACTGAGCAAAGAGCGATATGATTTCAAATAGGCATACCATTTGGAGCTTGGGTAGTCGGCCATGAGGCAGAGATCCGAACGTTCGGAGCGCAAAGCTAGTAACGACTCGGAGCTTTTTCCATGTAAGAGAGCATAGTTAGTTTTGTGAAGGCTGGAACGGGAACGTACGTACCTCGGACGAATCCTTCTTCCCCAGTCCGATCCAACTAGATTGTTTCTGTTAGAAATGTCCTGGAACAATAAGGCTGCTGTTAGCTAGCTACTTCAGGTATGTTCAATAACTCACAAGGTGACGGAGGTTCTTGCATTCGCCTGCTCTTAAGCCAAAGAGAAAACGTTGGACTTCAACCTGCATTTCCGTCCATTAACAAATCCGGAAGTGAAGACGAGTTAGCACCTCTTTCAAACGCACGCAATCTCTTAAAATCAAGGTCTTGAGACAAAGCTCAGCACAGCCGACGAGGTTCCTAACAAAACACAACTCGAGCTCAGCTTTCAGTTTACAAGAGATACTCTTCACTCGCTTACCTCAAGAAGAAACCATTGAGGTAATCGGCTCCAGAGAAATCAGCGTGAGTAAGGTGCTCCAGTCCCTGAGAAGCACGAGAGTTTGAGCTGACATAAAAATAATCCAGCAATAAACGTACAGTCAAAAGGACGGAAGCTTTTCTGTCAGCTAGCCGGTACTCACTCAGTGTTAACGACAGTAACTTTGGGCATCCTTTGACGAGAGTGCTACACGCACTAATTTTCACATTGTCTGCAAAGATTTGACAGAACATTAAGCGGTGACGAACGAACAACAGCAGCAAGAAAACTTACGTCCAGGCCATGAGCCAAGGTTTGCCTGTTGGCAACATAGACCCTCGAGTTCATGACAAGTAGTGCCCAAGCAATCCATCAATGTCGTCAAGCTCACGTTGCTAAAAGCTGGTAAGAAGTTAGCGCGGAAGAAATAAAAAAGGGCTATTCCTTCTTACAGGCCAACGACTTTCAAATCCATCAAAGCGGGACAGGCCATCAGTGCCTTGCAAAGAAACTTGCTGTCCATGGATTCGATGTTGTAGAGATGCAAGGCCTTCAACATTCTTCTGAAGAAAGAGAAACAAAACGCAAGAAAAGATCGTAAGCGAGGATTTGCAAACAGGAAAAATTTTACCCAGCTACACCATCGACAATCAATGGACGAAGGCAGCTCTTTGAGAGAGGACAAGCCGTCCACTCCGAAGATTTGTTGAACATGCTTCTGTCATATATGACAGGAAACTTGAGAGGACTAGAACTCGGCTTCAGTCCATGCAAACGGCAATGGTGGAGCACAACTCCGAGCTTCAAAGATCTGAAAAATCAAATGGAACTTAGTCTAGAACGAGAGAAAGAACGAAACCAAAACCTGAGACAGCGGCCAGCTCGGTGAATGACCTTTTCCACCGTTTCATCCGTCACAGTCGATCCGCCAGTCGTGAGATCGATGTTAGTGTAGCAAGCAGCTTCCAGCACGAGCTTGCTAAACATGGTACACGCCGCCGCTGCCTGGCACAAAGTCTGCGTTCCCAGCGACGAGAAAATCTTCGCTTCGTGCAAACCATGGCCCATCAAGAGGAGAAAAAAAATTCCAGAGCGAGCTCACCTTAATGCTTAGATCAGGAGTAAACGGCCACACGGAGGAGTTGTGTTGCGCGGCGTGCTCTCTAGCGAGCCGATTGGCCACGCCTTGCAATTGGAGACCTAGCGCCAGGCATCGATCCAATAACTCTACCTTCTCGTCATCGCTGCTCTGCCTGTGCAAAATGTGCTCCAACGCCGCGTCCGTGACCCCCGCATCCAAATCCGTGAGAAGAACCTCCAAAACATCCTCCATTCTCGATCGATCGATGCACGCTCCGCCCTCAGCCGAGGGTCTCCTGCGCTTGCTGGCGATCGGGCAGCTCCGGCGTCCAAGATCCATGCAAAGCTCCTCCCGCCCCGATCGCGCTTGCCATTCACTCCTCCCTGCCCTAAAATCCGTTAAAACTTCACTGTTGTAGTTAAAAGGTAGATATATCTATGTTTTGTTTTTACAGCGTGTTCATGTTTGCGGCGAAGCCAAACTTTGACACTGGCGCGGACGAATCTTCCAGTCGTAGCTTAGATTTGTGTCTTTGATACCGTGCGCTCCGGGCTGCGAGAAAAAGAAAGAAGAAAGAGCCAGGAGTTGCTCCTAAGAAACAAGCTTAAACTTACAGGCGAGCTGATGAGGAAGGCCAAAGTTATAGTCGTCTCTTCGCCTCCGGATGACGAAAATGTAGATCAGCGTGGAAAGAACAGCAGCGCCGGCTAGAGCTGTGAGAGCTATGCCAATCTTAGCAGGAGTCGAGAGCTCCTGGTGTTGCCAGAAGGGGCAATCGGGCAGTGCGGGAACTCCGCAGAGATCGTCGTTGGAGGAAATGCTGCAATGATCCGGAGAGAAAGGTAAGTTCGCCAAAAGAAGAGGAACAAATCTATAAGCTCTTTTCTTACTTGAAGAATCCACCACGTACACCGATGGTGTAGAGAGTCAGTGGAACTTGTCCGTTTAGCTCGTTGTTGTTTAGAAGCCTGTTAAAGATTAGGCGAAAGTTTCTAGAGAAAAACGTGTTCTTACACTTTGACAAGTTGCGCTTGGCCCAAGCTTTCTGGAATGCTTCCTGTCAGATCATTCGAAGACAAATCCCTGTCAAAAGTCCAGCACATTAATTTGCCAAGTCAATGAATATAAAACTTACACAGTTTCGAGATTGTCGTTTCCAAGACCGGAGGGAATGCTTCCTCGTAAGTTGTTGTTGCTCATGTTCCTGTGGATCCAAGAAGAATGCATCAAACTCGGGCCTTGAAATGTGTTTCTAGAGCGGAACTCACAAATATCTCAGATGCTTCAGTGAGGTGATTGTGTCGCTGATTGTTCCTTTCAGTCCTTGACCAGACAGGTCCCTGCTCGTGCCTTAAATGAGAAAGAGAAGTAAAACACACAACGTTGAAAACTTACAGACGAGTGATGACGAGGGATTTCCCATCCGGAGCATAATTGCAAGTGACACCTTCCCATGTATCCCAATTAAACGGAGCACAAGGATCGCCATTCCATCCCATTCTCTCAGGAACTCGCAAGCTTTCTTTCAAAGCTAGCATTGCTAGAACTGCAAAAAAAAAAAAAAAAAAACGTTTACAAACATCACGTCCGAAACTTCCTTTAACATACCTTCATCCACGCTTGTTGATAGATCCATAGGGAGGATTGCATAGTTCTCCAATCCATTGAGAATTGGTGTTCCTACTCGCGGCGAGAGCGTCACGTTGAGAGCCGAGCCAGTGAGGTTCTTAAGTACGTGAAACAAGTCATAAGCAGCAAAGCTTCCAGCCTCCTTGTAAACATCCACCTCCGAGAACGCAGCTTCGCTGTTGATGAAGACGTCGAAAACTCTCTGGCCAGAAGCCGTGACCGCCGTATCAATCTCTGCGAAGTGAAACCACAGCATGTAGTCGAGGCTCGTGTCCACCGTGAACATAAACTCGATGCTGCCGGGTGAAGTTAGCGTGTGAGCTGACTGGTAAAGCCGCTGTGGGAAATAGTTTGGAGCAACCTCGGCGTTCTTGATAGGATCATCCGTTCGGAGATAAAAGCTCTCCCCGAAAGTGGTGGCGAGAGTAGCATCCGGTTCCCATGCCCGACCGAGTTTGTCACCCTCGCGGCTCACACCAGCTCCAAAAGCCTTGAGCCCACCAGTGAAACGTCCATAGTTGACAAGGATCACGTCGGTCCCAGTCGCCAGGGAGCTATACGACTGTGGATCAACCGAGACGATCTCCAAGGCCCCTATCACCGGCGAGTCCGTCGCAATGCTGTAGAAGCAAATCTTCACGTCGCCATCGTCGATGAAGGTGTAGAGATCGCTGTAGACACCATTCTTTGCTTCTTCGTCGGACCAAGGATATCTCCAGCTGAAAACCACCGTGCCTTCCACCGAGACGTCGAAGTTTGGGGGCCTGGACTTGCGATCATAGTTCCCGTAGACGAAGAACATCCGGATGGAGTAGCGGCCGTTTGGGAGCTCCACAATGTAGCAATTCTTCTTGCCGGTTGAGGGAGGAAAGTAGCGTAGAGACCACTCGTGGGATCGCCTCAAGTGGTCCGAGGTCGAGACGAGCGCGGCGGTGCTCCCTCCCGTGTAGAATCTGTCCGAGAGCCATTTCTCCTTGAATTCGTTCACGAAAGTTCTTGGCCCGCCGCAGTCGATGCGTAACGAAGTATCTGCAAGAGCGCAAGAGATGAAAATCCAGGAAGAAGACTGGCACGAATCCACGAAGAACAAAGGACTAGGGCGAGAGGAAACATGCATTGGAGAGCAAGCAAGGGATCGATGCTGCTGTCTACTCGAAGAAATCCGAGCTACATTTGCCACTAGCGCGCACAGAAAGGATTTCCAGGAGCACTTACTCTGGGAGATCGTCGCAGCTCGCTGTTGATCGGCCCTCGCCCCGGCCGCGCTCCACAGGAGAATTGCAATGCCGCTAGCTAGACAGAACCAGCACGGATTCGTCCGCCAGGGCGCCGCCATAGCTCTCTCCAGCTGCTCGCATGGATTGAGAGCCAATGCGGGATTTTCTTCCCGTCCGGAGCGTTTCAGTGGAAGCAATTTAGGCTAAACAGGCCACTGAAACGCTCTCGTGAAAGGGACCACGAATATTCGCCCGCCGGCCCAGACGGAATGTTCTCACGCCGTCAAGGCATATTCGCCGATTAAGAAGGTACCCATGCAAAGGGGTTTGTGAATATTTTTTCGAGCTAGGTAGAGATAGCGCGCGCCATCGGAATGGCGACGCAATCCAGCGCCATGGATGGAGAGCCGCCGGCGTCGCAGCAGCAGCAGCAGCAGCAATCGATTCCCAGGAGCTTGTCGCGGCCGCAGCTGGATCTGAGCGGCGCTGCGATTCAAGGATCCACGGAGGATCGAAACCCCAGCATTCTTCTGCCGAATCAAAACGACGACATCAGCCACTTCGCAATCGACATAGGAGGTAGAATTTCTATTCTTTCCTTTCTTTTTCTTCCTTCTTCCCATTCATCGCATCGCCGAGTCAATATTTTGATCGCAGGCTCGCTTATCAAGCTGATATATTTTTCGAGGCATCCCGAGCCTTCTAGCTCCAGAAGATCGGGGGAGCAGCCAAAATCTCCCAGCCTTCGCGGTCACTTCTCTGGCGGGCGGCTTCACTTCGTCAAGTTTGAGACCGGGAAAATCAACGAGTGCCTGGACTTTATCGAGTCAAAGCGGCTTCATTGCTGCAATGATCCATGTAAGCTCTTTCTTTTCTTTTCTTTTTTAATTTCCGCTGTTTCTAAGAAGTGCTGTGTAGTTAGCCGGTCAGAGGAAGGAATCACAATTAAGGTGAGTGACGAGACTTCCTTGTCGTTTGTAATTGCTTTGCGGGTGGTGGATGAAGGCCACGGGTGGCGGGGCATTCAAGTACGCGGACATGTTCAAGGAACGTTTGGGTGTGACACTCGACAAAGAGGACGAGATGGATTGCTTGGTCGCTGGAGCGAATTTCTTACAAAGAGTAAGCTCTCACACCATTTTCGGGAAACGGATCTTTTACCTTTCTTCTTCAAGGCAGGCTATCAGAGACGAGGCATTCACACACTTGGAAGGGAATAAGCAGTTCGTTCAAATTGACCAAAGCGATATGTTCCCGTACCTTCTCGTTAACATCGGATCTGGTGTCAGCATGATCAAGGTGCGGTGCCTTTGTACACAACAAAGTATTTAAAATCGAGGAACAGGTTGATGCAGATGGCCAATTTCAAAGGGTGAGTGGGACAAATGTTGGTGGAGGAACCTTTTGGGGCCTTGGCCGATTGCTAACAGGATGTAAAACGTAAGAGATGCTGTTTTCTGGCCTCCTGTCAATACTCTGTAAATAATGCATTGCAGATTCGACCAGATATTGGAGCTAAGCCAGCAAGGTGATAATAGTGCCATCGATATGCTTGTAGGAGATATCTACGGCGGCCTAGACTACTCGAAGGTATATGCTGCGGTCGTTTCTTAAACTTATAATCTCATGACAGATTGGATTGTCTGCGTCAACAATAGCTTCCAGCTTTGGTAGAGTTATATCTGAAACAAAGAGTCTTTCGGATTACCGTAAAGAGGATATTGCCCTTTCCTTACTTCGAATGATCTCTTACAACATTGGTCAGGTTGTGTACGATGAGGCATTCCGGTTAGTAGGCTTCTGATACTGTTCTTGCAGATTGCTTACTTAAATGCTATTAGATACAAATTGAAACGCATATTTTTTGGAGGCTTTTTTATTCGCGGGCATGCATACACAATGGACACAATGTCATTCGCCATCTCTTTCTGGTATGTTTTCAACACTGCTTGAAATTTTTTAACGTAGATCAACGCACAGGTCGAAAGGTGAAGCGCAGGCAATGTTCTTGAGGCATGAAGGATTTCTTGGCGCGCTAGGTGCATTTTTGAGCTACGACAAACACGGTCTTGCCAACCTGACCGCGCACCAGTTTGTGGAGCGGTTTCCTATGGGTGCTCCATACTCCGGGGGAAATATTCATGGCCCTCTTATTCGGGATCTAAACGAGAAGGTACTCAGCAGATATTTTGTTTCAGTTTTTTAACCGCATTCGAATGTTAGATCACTTGGATGGAAAAGTTTGTACAAAAGGGTGGAGAAATTACTGCCCCAGTACCAACAGGTTATCCAAGCACAACTGGGCTCGGTGGTTTTGAGCGTCCTCTAGGTCGTGCAAGGTCGCTACGTTCTGATTCAAGTGCAGCACTTAACGTTGGTGTCCTTCACCTAATACCTTCTCTTGAACCATTTCCGCTGCTAGCAGATCCGAAAACGTGTGTAAGCAAGCATTAGTTTCTCATCAGCTACATTGACGTTGTTTCCTTTTAGGTACGAGCCTAACACCATTGACTTGGGAGACCTTGATGAGCGAGAGTAAGGAATTAGTAATCATTGTTTTTATTTGGAACTAATAACTTATCTATAATCTTGCAGGTATTGGTTTAACATTCTTTCCGAACAGCTGCCGAACTTGGTTGAAAAGGTATTCACAAAAACTCGCGACCGAGCTTCAGAAAAACTGTTTTTTCAGGCTGTCGCTAGTGAAGGTGGCACCGACAACGCAAAGCGCAGAGGTGACGCTTTTGCACAAGCCTTTCGAGCCCATCTTGCGAGGTAATTGTGGTTTTTTCTACGTAAAACTGTTCAGCTAGGAGTTCAGGTTGAGAGAAGAACCAGCAGCGTATGGGAAGCTCGGCCTTGCAAACCTTCTAGAACTCAGAGAAGAGTGCCTTCGAGAGTTCCACTTCACGGATGCGTATCGAGCAATCAAGCAAAGGTTGGTACTGTCCTCTATTTTGTACTTCAAGTGTCTGTCTCTTATTGCAGGGAAAATGAAGCATCCCTGGCGGTTTTGCCTGACCTCTTTTCGGAGCTTGACACCATGGACACGGTACTAGCCTAAGATTTGTCATGTTCATTCTCATCTATATGCACAGGAGACAAGATTACTTACAATAATAGAAGGCGTCCTCGCTGCTAACATTTTTGACTGGGGTTCTCGAGCCTGCGTAGAGCTCTATCAGAGCGGTACCATTATCGAGATATACCGCATGAGTCGCAACAAAATGCAGCGGCCCTGGAGAGTACTGTTTCTCGCAGTTCCTGTAACAAGAACTTACTTCGCTGTGATCAGGTGGACGACTTTGATGCGTTTCGAAACAGGTGGATGTCAGGAAAACCACACTACAGAGCACTGCTTTTCGTCGACAACTCTGGAGCCGATATCGTCCTGGGGATGCTCCCGTTTGCTCGTGAGCTCCTTAGACGCGGCACAGAGGTATCAACGTTTGTGTCCCGATTCCTTTCGTTCAAGCCAGCTCCTAAGTTTTCTCTCACTCACAGGTTGTCCTGGTTGCGAACACGCTCCCTGCAATCAACGATGTCACTTACATGGAGCTTCCAACGGTGGTAGCAGCAGCAGCCACGGTAAACGTGAAGACTCCATATGTTTAGCGAGTAAGACCACCACTCTCTTTGCATTGCAGCATTGTAGCATTCTTCGAGAGGCCGCCATAGCTGGCGGCGTGCTGCTCAATTCTACTTCTCTCGACGATCGATCTGCGACGACGTCCACAGCTCCCAGGCTCATGGTCGTCCAGAGCGGCTCCGGCAGCCCGTGCCTCGACTTCCGCCAAGTGAGCTCGGAGCTGGCGATACTCGCCGAGGAGGCGGACCTGGTAAAAAACTTTCCATTCTTCCCGAGTCCCTTGGGAAAGCATTGCTGACGAAAGTGACACCAAATAAACAGATTGTTTTGGAAGGCATGGGAAGATCGTTGCACACGAATTATGACGCCCGGTTTACGTGTGAGGCCTTAAAGGTATATATTTTCCTCTTTTTTCTCTCTCTCTCCTCAAAATGTGGTGTGGTAATTTTGTTTTTTACCAGTTAGCTATGGTGAAAAACCAGCGCTTGGCAGAGAAACTCTTCAATGGCGCCATCTACGACTGCATATGCCGCTACGAAGTAGGGCTTAAGGCTTAAGCCGCATCTTTCGAGGAATATTTTGTGCAATTAATTTTAAGACGTTAAAAGGATATTCTGCTAAACCCTAGAATTCATTCTGGGCTATGGCGAGCAAATGGCTACAGCGAACGGTGGTGCTCCCCCCTCACAAGCGCGGCTGCCATCTCGTCACGTCCCAGGTACTCTCCCATCGCTGGATTCTTCCACGCGCTTAGCTCGCCTAGGTCAAATTCCATCTCCTCCCAGATTCTTCGCGACATCGAGGCGGACCTTTCGTCAATCAAGTGTGGCTTGGCACATTTCTTTTGTAAGTCTTTTTACTTTGCCATTCTCTAATTTTAATTTTTTTTCTCGCATCTCTTTGCGTGTTCCTCATTGAGCTTCTTAGGAATCTTTCTTTGTCACGTTCTTACTTACTTCTCCTTATTTTTATTTTTTTTGCTACTTAGTGCAGCACACGAGCGCGTCTCTGACGGTGAATGAGAACTACGATAGCGATGTCCAGGAAGATGTAGAAACGTTTCTAAACAAGACTGTGCCCGAGGTAGCCATGGCCACGTTGTTAGCGATAGTTTTCCCTGTCCCTGATCTCCTTGATTCGGTGGTGGTCCTCGACAGGGTCGTGCCGCTCCATGGAAGCACACAATGGAAGGTACGCTTATTTTTGTCCTCGATTCTTCTGTCGCGGCGGAAAGAAACAACTCACTTTTTCTTTTTCAGGCCCGGATGACATGCCCGCACACATCAAGTCGTCAATGTTTGGCTGCTCGGTCACGTAAGTTTGTTCTGGTTTTTGTCGTGTGAGGGTGTGGATTGTTCTTTGCTCTTATTGCTTGCTCTTTACAGGATCCCGATCACCGATGGGCGATTAAACTTGGGAACTTGGCAGGTAACTTTTGCTCCGAAACTCGCTGCGACTTAACTCTGCTTGCGAAGGGAATCTGGCTGTGCGAGCATCGTGATCGTGGCGGAGCAAGGAAGGTGGTTGTCACCATGAATGGAGCTTGAATCACATTGGTAAATATAAAACGTTCCTTTCGCTTTTTCTCCTCTTCAGCAGTGGCTTGGAGCACGATGTTTAGTTTTCCTTTGACTTGTTGGTCCAGATCTCTTGTGTTTGCTTTGACAGTTCTTTAGTCCGTCCGTAGAGCGCTCCGTGCACTCGAGGACCGGGACCCAGCGGGAAGTTCTTTTCAAAGCCGTACACGAGGCATGAGTATTTTCTTTGTTCACACCTTGTTCTTGGTCCTGACGATCTTTCCTTGCAGCTGCGATGAATGAATCTTTCAAGTATTACGCTCGTCACAAGCCAGAAATTTTCCCGCGAGCTGTGAGGATCGATCGGAAAGTCCAGCCCGAGCCATTCAAAGTCTCTTCTTATCAGAGCTTCGCGGACGACAAGTCAAAGCCCGAAGCTCTTACTGGCATGATGTGTGCCGATGCGAGCATATGCTCGGTCGGAGAAGCTTCTGCAAAGGTAGGTGCTTTGCCTCATTTCATTAAAACTGTGGTTTTATTTTTTACTCCTTTCGTCCATTCCCAGTTGACCGATGCGAATTATAGCCGAGGGGAGGGAAAGGAAATTCTTATTCTTTCTCTGACGAAAGCAGCAACAAAGAGAACGTCTCTCCCTCTCTCTCTGTCTTTCGTTTATATGCCTCAAGCCAGAGAGAGAGAGAGAGAGGAGAGAGAGAAGAGGAGCGGTGATTCGCGACTATTTCTCTAGCAGAGTATCATCAAAGAAGCATGACTCTCGACCCTGGAGAGAATGTACGCAGAGTTTTTCTTTCCTTCTTTCGCCCCTGCCTCAAGCAAAGTCTATGATAACGACGATGATACTCGCGAGCCGAGCGGCATTTGACTAAATTCCGGGCCACACAAGAGCGCGAAATCCGAGCGCTCTCCCTTCTCTTCTTCTTTTCTCTCCCAGTGTTCTCTCATGCTGCAAGTCTTCCAGGCCGGGAGTGTATGACGACGACGAACAAGCGGCAGCAAAGTCTCTTGAGAGGCGGAGACGATCGCAAGGCGAGCAGCAACACCACCATGCCCGGGCGGAGCTCCAGCTTCCACAAGACGGTCACCAAGCTCGTCCTCAAAGGCCTCCAGGAGCTGGCGAGCTTGCGGAGCAGCCGGAGGAGCGGCAGCTACAGCCCACTGAGCGGTGACAAGAGCTCCTACTCAAGAACCGCCGATGTTCCCAGAGGATACCTCGCCGTCTACGTTGGCGAGCAGCACCAGGAGAGGTTCATCGTTCCGACCAATCACCTCCACCATCCCATCTTCAAGGTGCTGCTCAAAAAGTGCGAGGAGAAGTTTGGTTTCTGCCACCAGGGACCGCTGCAAATCCCCTGCCCGGTCGATCTCTTCCACCTCCTCCTCTGGCACATTGAGAACAGCGACGTCGTCCTGGATTCCTCGCAGGCTCAAGAGCTCGTCGATCTCTATGTCGTCAGCCTGGAGAATCTTTAGCAAAGCAACTATATCCTACACGATATTCTTGAAAGCACAATGTAGGCCGCAAACCTCAAGGATTTCTTTCTTTCTCTTGCACTTGTTCATTTAGACAACTCGATTCCGTGAGGGAGCTACTGGTCAAATGCTGCGAAATGTAAGACGTTAGTACGAAGAAGTACAGAAAAGGATATTACAGCCACCTACATGAAGGACGATAGTGCGGACTTGAAAAGGTCGCTAAAGGCCGCTGTAAATGTCGAATCTTCGCTCTTTACTTTAACGCTGGCCTTTCCTGCGCTCGTATGGACCAGGCACTCCACGAGGAAGAAACCTGTCCCAGGCATCCCATCGGCCTTCTGAGCGAAGAAGAAGAACTTGAAAGTCGGGCTCTGGCCACCCGACGCCATGCACTGCACAGATTTTTCTTGCATATGGCGCAGAAGCGGCTGAGTGGTCTTGAGGCTCTGCGCTGAGATTGGATGCTCCTGTTAACAAAAGCACGTCGTCAGCGAACGCCATGTAAGACTGAGTGGTACTTACGAAACTTAGAGCAACAGGAAGCTGTGACCATTTCTTTTGAAACGTGCCAGAGTCGAGAACTGGCTTTGAGCTGAGTACCAATGATGGAGGAGGAGGAGGTGGCGTAGAGATGTTCAGGCCGAGGAGATCATCAATCCCGAATGCCGCAGGAATATTTGAAGCTGACACTGGAGGCACTGAGTCACCTAGTAGCGTTGGAGATGGGGATCGTGGCGCACTGAGTGGTCCATCATCCCCGTTGCTCACGCCACTTTGGCTTTCTTCCTTATCAAACGCACCAAGGAGCAAATCATTGTCGTTTGCGTCCAGTTTTTGTGTCGGCAACACATCGGTTGGCGCTGCTTCATCAGAAAACTCGTACAGTTTTCTATGTTCCTTGTCCAAAAACATGTACGAAGGCTGCAAAAAGTCCACGTTATACATGGTAGAAACTTCAAATAACAACTCACCTCGCGGTAGATGACAGATAGGCTGTTGAATTCATCAAATATTCGATCTCTCATTTCACTGTTTTGGATATCTGCAAAATCAGAGACTGCCTTCTTTGGTGGATTGACTATTGACTCCGCAGTTTGAACCCCTTGTTGAAGAAGCCTATAATAGAACAGACCCCTGTCGTGGACGTCCTGGCAAAGATTAACAAGCAATTATCAATTAAATAACGGATTAAGAAGAAAAGTACCTGATCAGGATCGTCAACCGCTGCTGCTAATGCAGCTCCAAGAAGCTTTTGGCTTTCAGGTGGTCGTTTGAAAAAAATCTTTGCTGCGGCTGTCAGCAACTCCAGACGAACCTGTAAACAATAACTGCTTTTCAGAACTGAAAGACAAACGTAGAGAGCAAGACTAACCTCGGGAGAGTCCTCTTCCAGCCAGTTATCCACAAAACTTTCAAGCACATAAGGTGCATCGAGCATATCATGAGAATACTCTCCGAGCATCCATATGAGAGCTGCCTTCGCTTTCGGTTCCTGAATACTTTTGCTACTCACATTTCCAACAACCGCAATGCAGTCATGACTCCATTCTGGGTACTTTCTCACCAAGTCTTTCACTAAGACCTGAAACGAAACCAAAGCGTAAGGGATGTTTTTAAATTGAATAGCCATACCAGTGTTTCCGCAGTAACATAATCCCGTTCCATCTCTAAAAACTGAAGCAGCCGATCAACGATCGCATTGACGTCGCAAAGGTTTAACGCGATTTTTCCCACGGCCCTTATGGCTTCTCGCGTTATTCCAACGTCCACGTTTGCCGCGTACTCGCTAAGCTCTGTCACTGATAATTCAAAAAACAAAGCCTGCATTCAGTGGATCAAATACTTCAACATCAAGAACTAAAGTGTTGGAGGAAAGATGCTCACCAATTTCGTACATGTTGCTCTCGCTCGCAACGGCAGTAAGCATCTCAATTTTCAGCTTTTTCACGTAAGACGGGTCACTATACCGACAGTAAAAATGTTTGTAATCGGATGAGAACAGTATGGGTGCTCTCATTACCAACAAATGGAGATGGCTGAGCACCGCATACGATAACTCTGGGCTACCCGAGCTTATCAAAGTAAGCAGAGGAGCTTTTATCCTTTCGTATACCTGAAGAACCAACCAAACTTAATAAAGCGAACGAAAAACAAACGAACTCACTTGCTGGTGCACGTCGGCCATAGAGATTGTCAGCTGAAGAAAAACTTTGATAGTTGCTAGCACCACCGCACTATTGGAATGCTGCAGCCGATCTTCCAACAGGTTCATGATATCAAATGTCTCATTTGGATCCACCGGAATGTACTTCGACACCATATCAAGCACGAGACATTGAGCCCATTCGGAGAAGTCCTTGATCCTGTATCAAGCACAACAATTAAGAGCAGCAAAGCTTTCAAAACCGGAGCCTTGCCTGTTTAGTAGCGAGAAAACGATTTGCTTGCTATGTAGTATCTCCCGATCTTTGTTTGCACGGTCATTGTTGGTTCTCTCCAGAACCAAAATCTCTTGCAGCGCACACAGACAGTTCGCGACCACCTAAAGGTAACAAAGTGAGTAAACAAGATATCAAGAAAGAAAGAAAGAAAAGAAAAAAGGAAGAACTACTCACGAACCTGAGCATCGGGATCCTGAGAAAGCATGCTCTTCAATGTAGCCACGAAATCATTCTCAATGCAAGCAGTAGGAGCAATGTGGTAGAGCTTGAGCACTCCCATCGCAGCTACCTGTCTCACGTAACCATTGTTATCCTTGAGAGCCTTCCTGAGAGACCCGACCAAGTACTCCACGAAATTCATCACCCTCAAGGAGCACAAGCTTCGCAGCGCCAGGCCCCGGATCATCGGATCATCGTCCTGGCAATCCCGCTGGAGGAAATTTATGGTGAGCAGCGCTAGATCTGGATGGACCTTGGCGTAATTCCCGACATAGAGGTAGCACATCTTCTTGACGACGAGATCCGATGTCGCGGAGCACATCACCATCTCGCTGAAGAGCGACGAGACATCGATGCCGATGGTCATGTAGGAGATTACCTTCTTGTAGAGCTCGCGCTTCACCTCCTCGACGCCGGGCGCCCGGCTACCCGCGAGCTGCCGGAGCTGGGATTTAAGCTCCGCGATCTCGCCCTTGCGATGGCCACTGTCGGCATTCATCCTTCCTTCCCCCCAGAAAGACCTAAACTCTCTCATTTACTTCCTTACACCAAGAATCCGATAATTTCTTTCAGGTAGAAAACTTAATAACAAAATCAGAGTGGCGCAGCGGAAGCGTGGTGGGCCCATAACCCACAGGTCACAGGATCGAAACCTGTCTCTGATAAATTCCATTTTTTTCTTTTTCTCTAACAGGTCTTTAATCCGACGGTCAAATTCAAACTAGATTCCAACGGCATAGATTAAACCCTAGTTCTTGAGGTGAGGAATGTCGCTGGGCGTCGTCCTCGGCGCTCCGCCCAGCACGACGCGAGCTCCAGGTACGATAGTTTGCTCCAGGAGCTTTAGATCGAAGACGCTAGCGTCTTCCGGCCGCTCGTTTGGAGATTGGGAGGACGGTCCTCGCGGGATAATCTGGGATTGCCAGCAGATCGCGCAGGCGGTGGGCGGGATTTTAGCGAAGCAGGGATCGCCTGGCAGCATTTGCACAGACACTAGGGGAATCCACCGGGGTGACTGGTTTCTAGCGCTCGTAGGTCGAAATTTCGATGGGAACAGCTTCCTTGCGCAAGCCCTGGCCGCCGGGTGTGCTGGAGCGATTGGCCGATCGATGCCGAGAGACTGGCCCGTGGGATTCGTGGAGGTGTCGGATTCTCTGGCAGCTTTGCACAAGCTGGCGGTCGATGCAAGGAACAGATATAGAGGTCATGTAGTGGGAATTACTGGGAGTTGTGGGAAGACAACCACGAAGGCTATGGTCGCACTGGCTCTGGAATCTCTCGGGCACATACACCAGACACAGGGGAGTGAGAACAATCATATTGGCGTTCCTTTGACACTACTAGCGCTGCCATCTTTTTCTCCGGCGTGCGTTATAGAGATGGGAATGAACCACCTGGGAGAGATTTTGGAGCTGTCCAGGATTTGCAAGCCGTCGGTGAGGGTGGTTTTAAACGTCGGTCCTGCTCATATGGAGAACCTTGGCAGTTTAGAACAAGTGGCCTTGGCCAAGGGAGAGCTTTTCAGGGATTCTGGACGCGGAGACGTATGCATTCTTAATGCGGATGATCCTTTAGTGATGGCTATGCCTGTCTCACCAGATGCAATGATTGTAAGTTTTTCTTTTCTTTTCTCCGCTTGTGTTCTTAACTGTTAAAACATTTTCTAGAGATTCTTTGGACGCTCGGAAGTAAGTGACTTGCGTTTGCTAAACGGAGAAGTCACCAGTGGTGGTCAGGGTGTCAAATTTACTTTGCAACAACAAGGTGTTCCAGGTTCCGAGACAACGTTTTTGTCATGCCCGGGAATCCATCTGGCTTCAAATGCTTGCGCAGCAGCGTGTGTTGCGACCAGTCTGGGGGTTCCACTGAAGGCAGCATCAGAATCGATTTCCAAGTTTTCACCGGTTGGGATGAGGTCGAGGTTGGAAGCTATTTGTTCCGACATCCAGCTGATCAATGACGCATACAATGCGAATCCCATGAGTATGACAGTCGCTTTGGAGATTCTGGCCAGTGTCGAATGCAAAGGCAGGAAAGTTGTGGCCCTGGGTGATATGCTCGAATTGGGAGATTTCACCAGGGGCGCTCACATGAAGGCCATTAAGTGCTGTCAAGAGCTCCATGTGGATGTTATTGGTACAGCAGGGCCTGCATTTTCTGACGCGCTTAATGGTCTAGAACTGGAAAAGTGCGAGGTGGTGAAATGTGAAAACTCCGCTGCTCTTGCCGAGGAACTTACTGCCAGGATCACGCCCGGTGACGTTGTGCTCGTGAAGGGAAGCAGAGGAATGAGAATGGAACTTGTGGTTGACGCCATAAAACGCAAGTTCTTACAGCAAGTCTGCTGCTCAGCTGCCAAGGACTTAAAGTAATCTTCTGGACAGGGAATTACATTTGTTAAATTCAGGTACAAATTATACCGATTTCTTTTTTTTTTTTCCTAGCTGCTGCTTACGTCCGCTTAGCAGGAATAATTTCCTATATACTTATCAGTAGCCTGATCCACGTTCCTTGAGGATATTCACACCCATATACCTGCAGACGAGTTACTAGAGATTCAGTCGGATGCAACTGGAAAGGGAGCTTACTTGCCTTCCCATCATCATGACAGTAGCTTGCGGGTTGGTTCCTGGAGATGACAGAAACGTCGATCCATCTACGACTCGGAGGTTATTCACACCGATGACCCGATGGCTGTCGTCTACAACTCGTCCAACTTGACACCCGCCGTGGTAATGCCAAATCGTGTTCACAGTTGCTCTGCAAAAAGTTTCCATCGCGATCCTGTTTGACGTATCCAGCGGCAAAAGGTTTCCGAGCAGACTCACGAACTTGAGCATCGGTTCCGGTATTTCCTCGGGGTTCACGTACGTGAAAGATGTCATTGAGGACGAACCAATGACTCTTTGGATAAGCTGGATTCCTTGGACACACTTGTTTAAGTCTTGGGTATCGGAGAAGTAGTTGAACCGTACTGCGGGATTGTCGTGAGGGTCGGTGTTGCGAAGCTTGAGATAACCACTGGAGACTGGGCCATCTACCTTCTCCATCAGAACTCCAGTACGCGGGAGGTAGGAAGACATCTCTTGTAGCTGATTCTGAACAGCCTGTATGAAACTCGGTGTTCGCAGTGGCGGAGGAACGCTGCTGATCATCGTGATACCAAGAGCCGGCGAAGCAGACTCGATGAAGCTGCCAAAGCTCGTGATGCCAACGACTTCCACCAGCGATACCTCGAGCGGTTTCGGTGAAGGTACAAAGATTGCGTTCATAGGATTGTCTGCCATTCCCTGACCAACATTTGGTGCGTTCATGATTACTGGTATTTGGAACGCCTTTAGGTGCTCCTCTGGACCAATTCCACTCAGCATCAGCAATTGTGGACTCCCCAGTGCTCCAGCAGATAGTATGACCTCGCTGCGTGGATTTGAATTGAGAACTGCGCGGTGCTCCATACCAGACGTATCTGTGTACACGACACCGTATGCTCTTGGACGTTCGCTATCAGCTGAAAGTCTCAATGTCAGTGAACTGTCTGGTAAAAACACAGATGAGACTTCGTACCGGTAAATAGTATTTTGTTTGTTGTTGCATGCAGCATTACTTTGATGCTGCTCGGATTTGCGTATTTGAGTAGATCTGCGGCCGTATGGCGATGTCCATTGCTATCGAAGATCGATCCTCCGGTCTTGGTACCAATCAAGTGATCGTACGTGACTCCATTGTCTGGAAGTATTCCAACCTCTAACAAACCTCTTCTGACCGCAGATTGCCACTGCTTTAGTTCCGGAGCAAAAGCGACCACGTTTTCCACCCAGGAGTAAGATTCGTCGACAAGTTTTTCGTCCCATCCGGCCTTTTGGATAAATTCCTGGCTTGCACGGGTGTAGAACCCCGCATTTAAGCAGGTCCCTCCACCGAGAACCCGGGGCCGTCTGTTGATGACTCCATCCTCCGAGATGAAGGCTTGCGCCGGGGAAGTTGCATTGGTCCAGACCAGATTGTGGACAAACATCTCTATTCTCTCGATGTCTGGATTGCCGTAAGGCACTCCACCACGTTCCAGTAGCAGGACTTTGAACTTTTCGGACAGCGTAGCAGCCAAGGGGCAACCGGCAGTGCCACCGCCGACGACAATGTAGTCGTACTCCTCATTGGACGAGGCCGAGGAAGAGGCCTCTTGCAAGAACGTGAACTTCCCTGTATAGTGGTAAGAAAAACACTTTGATTCTCTTCAACTCTGAACTTCGTCGGACTTGAATCCAACAGGAGAGCAATACCTGGCTGTGCACCAACAACAGCTGACAACAGCAACAAAACGGAGACGATTGCTAGCAGCTCATTCTCCATTGCTTCAGGAGCCTAAGACAGAAACGACTTCGACAGAAAGCAAGAAAAGAAATCGCTACCTGCGCAAGAGAGAGAGGAACACGAGGTTCCCGCTTCTCCAACACCTCCAACGCCAGCACAGATATCGAGGTAGCAAGAGTTTCCTTGAAAGACTGTGTGACACAGTGAGGCCTATGCAGGAACTGTGGTGGAGGTCACGATCTGGATTCCCCGCTTCACATTCAAGGCGCGAGTCGGCGCTTTTGGAAAATCTCAGCCAAGGCTCCTAATTCGCTCCACAAGCTTTTGCAAAGCTTCAGCATGGAGTGATTGCAAAAGCAGCCGTAAAGAAGCAGGACGTGATGGGTGGTCGCGCTTGCATCTGTAAGAAAGTTTTATGGTATAGAAAAGGAGAGCAAGACACGAAACGAAGGTAAAAATACTCTCACCATTGTTGTTACTCTGTTAACGTATTGTGGTTTTATGGCGTCTTGTACCAGGCAGCAGCGATTTCACATTTACTTTTATAGACCTGTGACTGACTGATTGAAGACCGTCAGCTCCAATGAAGGCATTCAGACACTCAAGAACGTACGTAATGGAAAACTTTTTCTCGTCACGACTCGCGAGTTCGCAGGTTCGAATCGCTTTCCCTGAACTATAGCCATGGCAAGGGTCTAGAGGGCTTTTTCATCTTCGCACCAGGTATGGCTAGATGTCTTGCTACTCAATTTTGAGCTTGCTCGTGTTTCTTTAATCTTTCTGATTTCTCAAAAGTGTTCTTATTGATTTGTGCAGGTCCAAAACGGTTTTCTCCGCAATGCAGCAAGGCTTCATGACCATGCCGACGACGGACCTCTGTGACAAGTACTATGAGGAGATAATCACCGGTGGTACAGTCCGCGTCTTGGCGCCAGCTTTCCAAGTGTACGGGAAGCGTCGTTCCTTCTCGGGTCCGGTGACAACTCTTAAGGTTTTCGAGGACAACTCGCTGGTTCGTGCGGCTCTGGAGCAGCAGGGTGATGGAAAGGTGCTGGTCGTGGACGGAGGTGGCAGCCTGAGGTGCGCGCTGCTGGGAGGAAACCTGGCAGCGATGGCTTCGACCAATGGCTGGGCAGGAATTCTAGTGAACGGATGCGTCCGAGACGTGGAAGAGATCAACGCGGTGGAAGTGGGAGTGAGAGCGCTGGCTCCGCATCCACTCAAGAGCTTCAAACGAGGACAGGGCGAGAAGGACGTGGCTGTGGTCTTTGGTGGCGTGAGGATCTTACCAGGAGAGTGGTGCTACTCGGACATCGATGGAATTCTCATTGCCAACAAAAAGCTTTGATCGCTCCAACAAGCTCGAAGTTGCGACGCTCGTGTTATGGAGCACCAATAAGGAAGTAAAAACAAAACAAGGTACCCGCGTTTTCGATCAGCTGGACTTGACTTGTTTCTTTAGCTTGTAGCGGATGAGCCTGGCGATCTTGTAGAACCAAAAGACGCTAACGATTTGAATCCCGGAAGCTCCCAACTGCGAGGTGATTTCTTTCATTTTTCGAGCTATTTGTGAGAACTCACCTTGACAGTCAGTGGATTGTTGGCTCTCAAGGTGATGAAAGTGAGGTACGGTCCGAAGCCCATCCTAGCGATGGTGAAAGTGATCGCAAATGAGAGCTGCAATGCAGTGGCAAAGAGTGAAAGAGAGATTAAAAAAAAAAGCGAGGAGAGATCCATGGCCAAGAACTTGCGTCGTTCCACAAGTTGAGTGGTCGATCTTTGACGCCCAGCTCCTTGAGAATCTCCCGTGCATGCATGCATGGATTGGACATCTCCATGAGCCACAGGCAGCCCACAAGCTCAGTTCCAGACTGGATGAAAGATCAACCAATTAAAAACGAATGAGTTTGCTCTTCCTCACCACTTTGTAGAGAAATCCATAGCACAGGCCCATGATGCTAACCAGATGATGAAGAGCGGTGGCGGCATCGAAAGGGACCTCGAGGAGACAGCAGAAGAAATCGTAGATGAAGTAGGCGAGGCTCACGGTGATTGCTCTGACCTGTGGACGAAGATCTCATGGATCGATCTCTTCTTGCAGGAGGGAGAAGTTCTATCGCTCACCTGCGCTGGGGAGGCGGGCGAGGCGAGGGGCTGGAAGGGGTGCCGCCAGTCGTGGAGCGAGAGCGTGCACAGCGCAAGCGCGACGAAGGCGTGGACGAGGGAGACAATGCGGTTGGAGAAATCGTGAGATCTGCTTGGGAAGAGGATGAAGCGCACTGCGGTAAAGAGCGAGCTCCACAGGGCCACCCCCACAGCCAATTCCATCGTCGTCCCCGTTATCGCAGTCGCCATCGCCACCGCTCGGAAAACCCTAAAACAGAGCCTTGGGAGATCTAATTAATTTTATTAAACTGGTTAGATTAACTCATAAAATTAAGTTTAAATACATTTTCAGTTTTAGTCAATTTTATATATTTTAAATAATTTTTAACTTTTAAATTCAATTTATTTGAAATTTAAAATTTTCATATCTTCAAAAAAAGTTTTTGTTGAGTAATTTCCATTGAGTTTAGCATGTGGTAGAGATGGTTAAGTCCCATGCTTCATGTTTATATATACCACTTTTAAAGATTATAACAAAAGCAAGTGTGATTCATCCTACTTAAAGTTTTGAAAACTCATTAAATAGCCCAGTTTAAATGTTATCCACAACACACTGCTGTGCTTCTTTATTGGGTTAAAAAACCTGATAGGCATAAAATAATTAATTTTAAAATATTAAGCATAATATAAATTAAAATAATAATTAAAGCAAGATAGAAGAACAAGTGTAAACAAATCAATGATTTATATATTATATTAAAAATGCTAGAAATGAAAAAAAAAATGCTGGAACTTGGACTTAGAGGTGCTTGAATATTAGAGGCCAAAATAGTCTTCAATCAAATATACAAATATTTAAAATTATAACGTAGATTGTCAACTTATACGTTTAGTGGAACTTGCTCCATTTGTACATTTTTTCCTCCTAAAAAGTTTCACTCAATTATGGTGCATGCCTGGAGCTTAGCATCAGGCAGCACAACAAATGCAATACTGAGCGGGGCAATCGTGATGGGCTGCTTGGAATCCACCGAGATTGGCTTCAGAACGGGGATGTTGCCATCTGGAGTCACGTCGAGGAGTTTGCCGTTAAGGTGTATGCGCTGGCTCTGGAGATCCGTCAGGGGAGCACTCAAGTGGTATTCAAGCCGGGGCGTTCGACTAGAGCCTTTGCTGCTCTTTGCAAAGCCCGAGAGTTTGAGCCTCACGCTGTAGACCGTGGAGTTGCTCATGTTGATGAGAAGAACGGCTAGTCCACCCTGGGGATGAATGGAAAACAAAGAAAACAAAGAAGAAATACAACTTTAGTGGTGGATCCAAAGGAGCTTTTCCAAATCTCTTTACCGAGTTTGATTTTGCACAGTGTGCATATGCGCGAAGATAAGTCTCGCTGACCACTGTCGCAGGCAAGACGTCATTGCCCATTACTTGTTTCCACAAAAGAGCACTGGCAAAACACCATAGACAAAAGGGAGACTCTTAGCAGCCCAGTTGACGAATGCAACAAAAAGAAAAACTATAAGTTAAACAGTGAAGAAAGAACTTAACGCACGAGAACACAAGACACACCTGTAGTAGTCCGGATTGGGATTGTAACTATTTGTCCGAAGCAGTGCGTAGTTTCCGCCTACGAGACTTTGACGACAGTAGACAGCAGTGCTGTGCGATGCAGCCATGCCAAGCTGGTCCAAATACCTGATTCCAAAAAACCACACATTGAACCACAGAGACAAAAAAAAAAAAAAACAAAACAAACAAGGAAAAACACCATCTTGATTCTTAATCTACCAAAAAAGCACAACCAGAAACACCAAGCTTCTATCTTCCAAAACCAGGAACGGGACCTTCAACCATCGAAACTCACAACAATAGAACTATCTTCACTCAATCAGAAAGAAAGGAAAAGACCGAAAGAAGAAACGCTAAAGAGAGGAATTTTACGTACCAAAAGCTAGACACGAACGCATCGTTGACAAGGTGCTGGCCGCTGTTGTATGCTCCTCCGGCCTCTCCAATCCAGGCTTGAGCCCAGGGACCATATCTCGAGACGGTGTCACGCATTTGCTTGAAAGCTCCGGCCTCTTGGCTGAGATATGTCGGGCTTAGAATCTTCTGGATGAGGTGGCGATCGACGCCAGCTCCAAGGTTGTAAATGTGCCTCGTCACTGCGTCCAGCACTCGCGGCCCTGTCGACTGCAAGAGCTGCTGATACCACGCCGCCACGAAGAATCCATCGGGAGCAACCACCATCGGCCTGTCGATCTGGTCGCCATATATCCCGTCGATGATCTCGCGAAGAGATTTCACGTCGGTGGCGTACTGACGAGAGTTGATCGTCGTGCCAACTCCATTGGCACTAAGTTCGTTGCCTGGAAATTCGAAACATGCAAACGTCAAATGGTTACCTTGACTGGGCATTTGCTGTAAGTGCAAAAGTTGTGAAGATCTTACCAAGCTCCCAAGCCGCGATGGCGATTTTACTGTCGTGGGTGAACTTGATGAAATCTTCGGCATTTGTCGAATCCCAGGATCCTGAGTAAACCCCTTTGGAAACGCGCTGGCGGCCATTGAGAGCATTCAATCCAAATGCCACAGAAGCTCTGGCACGAAGAAGAGGCGAATTTAAGGGAGGAGATGAAGGGAAAGTTTTGCTTACTAACTATACCCTGTCCTTTGGAACAGTGAGTTGAGCTCCAGCCAGCGCGACATGTTGAGGCAGCCCTCGGAGAATCCAAAGATGGAATTTTGCTGCTTGACGAAGTTGGAGCATGGCCGCTGCGCGCTCCTCCCGACTTTGTAGAACAATCGGTCCTGGAGCGATCCGCCCAGGCGCAATGTGAGTGGATAGAGAGCTGCGAGAAAAAACCAAAACTTTGGTGGCTGAGAGCTGGAATTCCCTGTACTCTTCACTCACCTTTGATGGCATTTTCCAGCAGTGGGTGCTTGAGATCCTACCAAACATGGAGAAATCTGATGAGCAAGGAAGAAATCGAGATAAAAGGAGGGATTTGGCGAGCAAACTTGCCATGGTGAGGAGCGAGGCATCCTTCCAGCTGCAAGTCCCATAATCGCATTTCTCCGCGGGCCACCAATCGAGCGTGGCGCACAGAAATCCCTCTGACACCCGCCAGATTGTGTTGCTCGTGTTGATCTCCACCGCCGCCGCCTTCGCCACGATCTTCTCCGCCAGAAACTTGGATCTGCCCGGGACTGCCGCTGCTGCTGCTGCGCTGCCACATTCGTGAATCCAGCCCAGGAGAAAGATCCAGCAGCTCAAGAACAGCAACGCTCTGCCCATCTCTCCCCAAAGGAAAAAAAGAGGAAGACGGATCCTCTGTTTTCGCTGCGTCGAATCGCAATCGGCGCGACGAAATTGCGCAATTTCAGCACAAGCCCATCATTTCCAGGATCGCTTTGGAATGTGGGCAGCCGCCTGATCGATCGCTTCTTGCTTGTTTCCCAGAGATTCTCGATTGGGAAGACACCGAAAACGCTAGATAGATAGAGGGAAAAAAGAATTCGCTCCCTTTTCCTTTTCTTCTTCTTCTTTAGTGCGTTTTAGTGGGGGCGACTGTCGCACGTACTGTCATTTCTTCACGGACCAAAGAAAACGAAAGATCAAAGAGACAAAGGGGAGAGAGAGAGAGAGAGAGAGAGGAGCTGCTTTTTCTGATCAGTCCGGTACCAAATTCCTTTCGATCCGACACTCCAACAGCAGCGCCAACGAGGAAGAGCTTCAAAGGATGGACGATTCAAATGGATCTCCATCCGCCCAATTCATTGATCAGAGAGAATGGAAGTGCTATCCGCCGGCTATGGCGTAAGAGAGAGATGTCATGTCAAGGTGGGCTGGACAGCGCTGGATGGATTGGAATTTGGATCGCTTATCTTAGCCCTAATGGCTGGAGCTGAGCCGCGCTGATTAAACACTGCCAAACCAGTGTAAAGTGAAAGTATTTGAATTTGATTCGCTGGGAATCTTTCAAACTTTGGCCCGCGAAAAACGACGTGTTAAAGTTTTCTTATTTGGATCCTTTTGTCGTGGCTCTGTCGTCCATACACTCGCAGTGTTTAAAACTAAACTATGTGCTTGGGAATACTTTTCCATGAAGTAGCTGTGTTGCTAGAAATGGTTTCTCGAGCAGCTTTCTAGCTCGAGGATTCCAGGAGCTCAATGTGCTCGCTGATAACTCTTGGACAGGAATCACAGTTCACTAGCTCAATCCTGTTGCTATTGGGAATGTAACGAAGAGTATAATCTCCTCCTGCATCAAGTTTTGGAGCTCAGTGAAATCCAAAATGAGAGAAAGAGATCTCTGTGGTTACCATCGTTTACGCTGCCATAGAGCCAGCAGAGGACTCTATCCGCAAATGCCAGGCACACACCTCCCTGTCACAACCATTGCTGACTTGAATCGCTGAAAACGTAGATGCCTTACCTCCCAGTAATGCTTTTGTTTCATCTTACGTGCAATTTCTTGAGTGAGCATCATGTCAGAGCGCAAAAGCCTACCATTGTCGTCCCTGTTTTTCATGACCAGATCAAGATATTCATTTCTCTGCCCGAAAAGGAGGGAAAGAAACAACATTACCTGAAGCCGCATACAATTCGTGGAACTCCAACCAAAAACGATTGTATCTGCGATGGTAAGCAAGTTAGGTAGAGAAAATTATATCTAAGAAAGTGACTCTCACCCAAAATTTCAAAAGCTTCTCTTTCTCGAATCTTTCAAAACTTCTCTTGTCCAACTGCAAGCGAGCATAACACCTAAACGTCGAAGAGAACATAAAAACAAGCACTCACCTCGCGACTGGTCTTTAACTCAGTGTATCGCTTCGTACCGTCGGAGCCAACGTCATAGCAGTCGATCTCGGCACCCATAATGATCCGATGGGGACCAAGTTTGGTTCTAACAACTGTACAAAACTCAACGTTCGCATCCACAGCGACAGGCGGCCCTGCGTCGCCCGACATCTCGTAGAGATCTCGTTGAGGATTTTCAGTCGCAACCTCCTCATACTTGTAGCCCCAATAACATCTGCAACAACCAGTTTTTCGTAAGTAAAAAGTGGAGGAAGAAGCGCTGTGATTACTGTCGTTGTTGAAGCTCAGTCTGGGGAGGTTCAGGAGTTTTACGACAATCCAAATACACTGTTCCAGAACGTTTGTGCACGCCCATCTCCCAGGCGTCGCGTCTACTATAGGTCGTCCCCAGTATCTTATTTAAGTTGTTCCGAAATGTCTGCGCCAACAAAACGGTGGGTGATGGTAATTTGTAGAGATTTGTGAAAACTTACAACAAAATGAATGTCTTTGAAAGAAGTCAATTTTGTTCGCACACACGCCAGCAAGTCGCCGAAAGCACTTGATTCCGAATCTGCAATGCTCGCGAATCAGAAAGAAACTCAACCACGCAAAATCACAGATCACCAACCATCATTCTTCTGAACAAAAGAGTCAAATCCCTCGTTTAAGTCGGCCTCAAAACTTGAGAGAACTCTCCTCCTGAATTTTCTCTGTCGACAAGGGGAAAAAAAAAGGAAAGAAAACTCAATTATTTAGAGAACCACTCGCAAAAGCACCGCACTCACCAGACACCTTTCGTCATAGTAAACGGTTCCATCCGGTGTTCGACTGTAACAGCAAATCTGATTTGGCTGCTCCAAAGAACCACCATGCAAGCCAAATTTCTCCACTGTTAATCAAGGCCTACGTAAGTGGAGAAAAAATGAACCACAAACCTGACGATTACCTCTTGAAAAGGGGGGCATGCAATGCGCAAGGTCTCGTCCAAGTGGCCAGGAGGGCCAAGCTTCAGGTCAGCAACGAGATCCTTCGACTTGAAACCGCCAGAGTAGAAGGATGAATTTCTTTCTCCACGAGGATTTCCTCGCCGGTACTCGTGATCATTCCTTTGGTCATTCCGGGGCTCGGGAAGGACTACACAAAAAATGTGTGTGACCAACAAAAATAAAAAGGGAGAAGAAGAACAATCGCTCTTACTTGGTATGGGAAGCTGGCTCTGCGGAGTAGTGCGCATATAATCTTCGTTATCGGGGCCGAAAAGATCATCCTGAATCTCCACCGGATCATCGCCATCGCCTTGATTCTCCTCACCGCTGCTGCTCCCTTCCTCGTTGCCACTGCTGCTGCTCCTCTCCTCGTCACTGCCGTGATTCTGCTGCGATCCAGCGCCTTCTTCCTCCTCCGGAAGCTCGAAATCCTCCGATCCATCCTCTTCCTCCCCTTCTTGGACGTTGTCGTCTCCCCAGTCCGCCATTCACTGTGGCCTAGGGCCAATCCAAGAACCCTAGCTAATTCCTCATGATGCTACTGAGCATCACATAAGTGGAGCTTTCCCAGGATTCGAACTCGGCCACTCTCATCGCCGCCATGGCCCCTCTCTCCACATCGTTGTGGCTCTTGCAAGAGCTGAGGAGAATCGTCCAGGCCAGGCCGTCCGCCTCGAATGGCATCGAATCGATCAGCTCCTCCGCGGCTTCCAGCTTCCCGGCGCGGCCCAGCAGATCGATCAGGCACATGAAATGGCTGGAGCTGACCGCGATGCCGTAATCCCCAGCCATGATCAAAAAATGCGCGTAGCCCTCACAGAGAGATCCGCCATGGCTGCATGCAAAGAGAATGCTGTTGAAAACGGCGAAATCCGGCCCGATCCCCTCGCATTCCAACCGGCGGAGCATCGCGATCGCCGCATCGGTGTGGCCATTGCGTGCCAGCGCCGCGATGATCGAATTCCAAGCGCCTGGATCGCGCGGCTCCTCCATCTGGTGGAAGATTTCCAAGGATTTCTCGCAGCTGCCGCACCGGCCATACAGGATCACCAGCGCCGTGCCGATCATCGCGTCCGGCTCGAGATCCCGCAGCCCAGCGATGAGCGCGTGCGCAATATTTTCCTGGCTTCCATCGCAGGCGCTCAAGATGCTCGCAAGCGTGATCCTGTTTGGCGCAACGCCATCGAGATCCATCTGCCGGAAGAGCGCGAACGATTCTTGCGGACGATCCCTCTCGACACACGCCGCGATCATCGTGTTCCAGGAAACCACATCTCTCTCGGGGAGAGACCAAAATGCCGCACGGGCGCTCTCCCACTGCCCTAAACGCGCATAGCCAGACACAAGGCCATTTCCAGATGCAAGGTCTCTAGCTGGCATATGCTCATACACAGCCATGGTATCTTCCAGATGCCCATTATCGGCATATGCGGTAAGCATCGCGTTCCATGACACAATGTTGCGCTCGGGCATCGAACCAAAGACCTCCTTTGCACGGTCCACACACTGGCACCTCCCGTACATGGCCACGAGCGCCGTACCAACAAAGACGCTGGAATCCCAGCCATTGAATCGCACCTCGTCGTGGATCTCCTCGCCCAAGGAGCGATCGCAGGCGTCCAATACGCTCACGCAGGTAAAAGCGTCGGGTTCAAATCCCTCGACGCACATTTCCGCAAAGAGCTTTACTGTCATAGCAGAATACCCATTTTGGGCATATGCCGCGAGCATGGCATTCCAAGACAAGAGATTTCTATGCGGCATTTTTGCTAAACATTTTCCTGCGAGTTCCACACTGTTATTTTGGCCATATCCAGAGATGATTGCATTCCAGGAGACGGCATTGCGCTTCTCCATTCGATCAAACATCGTCTTTAGCATAGGCAAGCTTCCTGAATCGGCATATGCCGCAAGTATCGTGTTCCAAGAAACAGTATCTTTCTCGGGCATCTTCTCGGCCAGCGCAAACGCGTCTTCCAAACATCCGTTTTGTGCTAGCGCCGCAATCATCGAGTTCCAAGAGTAAAGGTCTCTCTGCGGCATCTTTTCAAAGAGAAATTTCGACTCCAGAATATGCCCATTTTGGGCATATGCCGTGAGAACGATGTTCCACGAGAAGCGATTCTTGTTCCGTATGCGCTCGAAAGCGAGAAACGCCTCCGCCGTATTCCCGCACTTGCCGTACATCTGGACGAGATGGTTGCCCAAAAACGTGTGCGCATCCAAATTGGCAGCAGCGATCTTGTGGTGGAGCTCGCGGAGGCTGGCTAGTCCGGTGCACTGGCGCAAGAGAGCGGCGCACTTTGGAAAATCCAAGCTTAAATCAGTGGCATAAGCACGCATCAAACACCACAACCCAGAGAAGAAAAATATATCTCAAGCATTGAGGATTGTTTCTTCTCCTCGTTCTCAGTTCCACAAAAATGTGCCAGCAAACGCAGGAAGAGGCGACGATTTCTCAAGAAAATGGAGCTGGGGGTTAGAAAATGTTGTGGCCCTTATTTCTGTCGCTGGCTGAAAATTTGTGGGTCTGCCGAGAGGGGCCAAGCATTTAGACCGCCTTGAGGTTTCTCCATCTTGAATCGCGAGCTTCTTGAACGCTGTATTGGATCGGTTGAGGCTGCTCGCTACGCGGTCGAGCAGAAGAGGCGAGGCGATCGAGCGTGATCGATCCATCTAGATCCCGTTTGCAACGAGCGGGATAATCTCGTCCAGTACTTGTTTAACTACATGGTATGATATTTTTTTATTGGAACCCGGTTGCTGAGATGATGGCTATCAGGTAAGTGTAGAGGTAAACCGTTGTACAAGACCCGGGTTCGATGCCGAAGGGTCCACTCAACAAGGACTTTTATGCAAAATTCTCGCTTTTTATATAGCCCTCGCTAGCTCAGTAAAACAACTTAGACCAGTCAGTTAGAACCTCGGTTTCTCAAAGCATTCGTTTCCGGTTCGATTCTTGCCAATACTAACTTAAAATAGAATAAAGAATAAAGGAAACAATAAGTTTTTACAAAGTAGAATAATTCAATTTAAATTCGGGAAGGAAATGCCTGCTTTGGGTGGTCGCTCACACCATTGAAGTTGGACGCGCTCGGTTGCCCATTATCATCCTCGATTCAACTTGGATATCTGAGATACGGTGCACAAGTTCGATTCTGTGCGACTGCACAGAAAAATAAAATACAGCGTCGGCACACTCCCTTCTCAGGAATTATCCTGATCAGGTCGTGAGGGTCTCATCTCAGCCTACCCTTTCAGAAGAAAGACTCTTTTCAGGGCAAGCACCCCTGGTGCCAGATTTCATCAGTTTCAAGAGCTTAAGCTTGCAAACCAAATTACCAAACAAGTAGTAGCAAACAGAAGAATGCTTACTGAAAAAACAGAGAGTAGCAGCCGAGAACCACACACTCGGAAGATGATTCACTCCACTCGTAAAGTAGAGATTTTCGAGTGAGTGATCACACCGAGGTATGTTCGTTTGTATGGCCACACGCTACAGGTTTCGTTGGATTGCCAAAACGTGGAGTTTTGGGACTGATGAGATTCACACCAGCAGAAGATCCCAAAGCTCCTGTGGCTGTGGAGATTGCTCTGCGAGTTTCTATTGCAACCCAGGCCATAACTCTGACGATCCATTACCACGATGATCGATTCCTTCAGTCCTTCTAACTCCACAACCCATAAGGGGGCTTTGCCAAGGACGAAACGCCGAGCAGCACGAATGCGGGGGATAATCTCGTCTGGTGGGCGATCTAACAAAAACGCCATGGATTTCGCAAAGACCCCTGTCACATGGTTCAAGTACATGGTATGATTTTTTTAATACTGGAACCCGGTTGCTGAGATGATGGCTATCAGGTAAGTGTAGAGGTAAACCGTTGTACAAGACCCGGGTTCGATCCCGAAGGGTCCACTCAACAAGGACTTTTATGCAAAATCTTGCTTTTAACTAGCCCTTGTTCTGGTTCGCTAGCTCACTAAAACAACTTAGACCAGCCGGTTAAGACCTCGGTTTCTCAAAGCATACGTTACGGGTTCGATTCTGGCCGATTACTTGTAATTTTTACAAAGCAGTCTTTACAAAGGTTTTCTCTTCTTCCATTCCTTGTTGAATGCCTTCAAGGCCTTCTTAAACGCTGGATTCTTTTGGAAATCCCTGTGGATGCCGAGCGCCTGTTGCAAGATGGGCGCGATGTCGTGTGACGTGCACAGCTGGTAGTCCCCCTTGCCCTTCTTCCGCTCCAAAACCTCCTCCAGCGCCTCGCCCAATGTTTTGCCCTCGCTAGTCTGCGTCTTGCTGAGTTTGTCCACCTCCTCTGGGGCAAAATAAGCCCGAGAGAGGAAAGATCGCGCTGCTGGATCGAAGGAAAGCCTCGCCTGCGCCTCCTCGCTCTCGAAGTTGAGGAGATCGTGTACTAAAATCCTACATCTGGTTTCGAGATCCATCAAGCTTCACCAACCCTAATTGTCCTCGTAAGCCAACGTAGACCTTTTTCCCGATTATAGAGTACCTTCATTTGTAGTTTAGCAAGTCAGGAAGAAATCGCGAGGCTTTCAGAAAAAACTCAGAGAAGCTCAAACATCCTTCGATCTGAAAGTGACATCACTGTTTCTCTGAGACGAGATACTACTGACCACGTCGTATGGAAGAACCATTTGGCAAAGCAATGTCTATCCGACTTTGCTCAGAATGGTATCATCGATCTCAAACTTGATATCCTTCTTGTCTCTCCCAATTTTGATGTACTCCTCGTACCTCTCCTTCAATGCTTCTGAGAGATTTATCGAGCTCGTCCACCCGAGCTTCTCCTTTGCTGCTCTTGGTTCCGCATAGAAATGCTATACATCAGCGCAAGCAACGAAAGAAAAATATGAGAACCAAAATAATCAAAGGTTGGGCATACCATGTTTCGGAAAGGAAATGCCTTCTTCGCATCGATTCCCAGAGCTTTGGCGTCGTAGTGGACGATCTTCGCTTCTTTCGCTGCAGCTCTAGCGCACAACCGGACGAGACCATCGAAAGTAACAGCGTGGTCGCTCACAGCATTGAAGATGGTAGCGTTGGACGCGCTCGGTTTCCCAATCGCCAGTGTTATCATGCTCGATAAGTCGGATACATGAGCAATGTTTGTCACTCGGATGCCCGGAGAAGGTATTGGGACGGGCTTGTCTCTAACAATTCCTGTCCAAGAAGTTTTCATGATCCCTTGAAACACGAACGGAAGGAGGAAAAACTTACTGTCGAAAAACCATTCCTCGCAGTCCTTGTTGTTCCCGGAGCCAGTCATGTACTGGGGTCTAAACGAGGAGCAAAACTTGAAAGCCAATTTTGAAATGTAGTCCTCCACACCGACGTGGCCTGCGTCCGCTTTCACAGGATCCTGTTTGCAGCAATTCGCTTGAGCTGAGAAGCGAGAAAGAAAAGAGAGAAAGTGGAGGTTTCTTACCCCTTCGAGGTGCGGAGGCTCGTCACTAGTTTTGTAGATTCCTGCGCTGCTGATGAACAAGAATTGCTCCACACCTTGAGATTTCGCCCAGTCCACAACAGGCCTGCAAAAAAACCAGCCAACTTCATTCTCTAAGACGAGAACGATGATCACATACTTCACAGCATCCAAATCTTTTCCATTGTTGTCCAAAACGGCATGGAATGATTTGCCACCCACGGCTGCTCCAACGTCTTTCGGATCGCCCCACACAGTTGATACTCCAAGATCTCGCAGTTCCTGCAAAGAAAAAACGGAAGAGGAAGCACGAATATACAGAAGACATGGTCAAGAACATACCGAGAACCGCGAGAATGGTGGCTTCTTCATCTTATCCGAGCTCTCCTCACCGACAGTCATGACAGTAACTTCGTGGCCAGCAGCGACGAGATCTTTGGCAAGCCAGAAGCCAATCACGGCGTGTCCACCGGAATTGGTGTTGACAATCAGTACCTTGCGATTCGACACCTCGTTAGCGGCTGCCGCCATCGCCACCGTCTTCGCTGCTCTCCATCTTCTCGAGCTCTTCTTCACGGCCATGGCAATGCTGCTGCTTGTGCCGAGAGAATGGAGCGAAGAAGTGGAAGGAGATTGCAAGGAGAAGGACGATGCAATGTAGCCGGGCGTTAGCTTTGAAATCTCCAGTGATGCTTGCCGGGGCGTGGAGACCGGGAATTGGAGAGAGAGCGCCATCGCCGCTCACATGCACCTTAGCCAAGATGGAAGGGAAAAATAAAATGAGGAGATTTTGGAATTTCTTTACCTGATAAGTAAGCAATTGCTCGATCAATCCATCTGATGGAAGCTGTGCTACCACAGAATCGATGGATGATCCCCCAAGAAGAAGGATCACTTCTGCCAAGTGCCGCATTGCAGTCGTCTTCTTCCTCGTTCCAACATCATGAGATGGACTCATATTAGTACAAAACCTCCTTATAGACAAAGTTATAATATAGGTACTAATATCTTAACTTTAAACAGCTAAACTAAGCTCAAATTAAGCTACTAAGACCAAATCAAGATTAATAAGAACTCCCTACTCTCATAAAGTCTGATGAAATGCAAAATGCAATCTACCACTTAATTGTAAGCTCCTAAATTGTAAACTCAATCATCATGTGGTGTAATTCCCTTAGCCAATCAACAGAGTTGGACTTGAGACTGCTCCGATACCAAATGTAAGCTCCTGAATTTAAACTGGAGGTTACCCAGCCCAGTACTATTCAAACCCAAGGATGCTTAACCCTAAATATCCCAAGACCCTTAACCATTTGGAAAGGGGGTGCACTCTTGTTCATGGGCTTTTTCCTTATATATTTGAACTCCATTGGATCGTCTTTTAAGTCGTTCCCTTTGGTTACTTACACTAATATAAAAAAAGCACAAGAGTCACCTTTCTAGAAAAGTGTTACAACCACTTTTTTGCATCAACTTTAGACTCTATCCAATTTAATTGTTTTAGCCCTTAAGAACTCAACATCCCTTTCAAGCCACATCATACAAACTACATACTAAAATTTAAATTAATTAAAGTCAACTCCATCCCTTTCAATAGTTTGTATTGGCTTATAGAAAAGAAATGGTTTTCGAACAAAATGATCAATGTGGTGTTATCCTATAATAATCACTATAGGATAAAGGGTAAAAACCACGTGTGCTACATTTGGTATTAGAGGATACGTCTTAGCGAGTACTATCCAATAAAATTGAGCAACTAGTCTCTGTAAGTAACCAAAGGGAATGAACAACTTAAGAGACGATCTATAGGGGTTCAAATATAAAGGGAAAGGGCCTATGAATAAAAGTGCACCCCCTTTTCCAATCAATTAAGGGTCTTGGGATAATTAGGGTTAAGCGTCTTTGGGTTTGAATAGTATTGGGTTGGGTGACTTCCCGAGAAGTCCAAATTCAAGAGCTTGGGTCTCAGGTCTAACTTTGTTGGTTGGATAAGTGAATCGCACCATAAGTTGACGGAACCTAGACCCTCTATGTGCCATGTGTCATATGCCACGTGTCCATAAGAGAATGGTGTGGAACCCAAGGTTTAGGACCTTGGGCCACTAAACAAAGGAACAGTGCTAAACCCCCAAACATGATGCCAAGAAGTGATGAAACCAAACCACGGAGCAACTCCCGAGCATACAGCCCAAGGAGTGAAGGGACAGGAGCTTGGAGCGACTTGGAATAGTCATAGAGTATCCAACATCCCAATGCCAGGACTAGCACGTAAAACGGAGCTAAATGGATTTTGGCGCTATTTCAGCA